TGCTCCCGGCCACCGCAGCCTCAACCTGCTGGGCTCCAGCAATCCTTCCGCCTCAGCCTTCCAAGTAGCCGGAATTACAGGCACATGCTACCACGACCGGCTGACTTTTTTGATTTATTGTAGAGATGAGGTCTCGCTGCCTAGGCGGGTCTCGAACCCATGGGCTCAGGCAATCCACTCACCTCAGCCTCCCGAAAGCACAGGATTACAGGCTGAGCCACCAAGCCCGGCCATGAATAATTTTTTGATGTGTTACCAAATGTGATTTGCTATTATTTTGTTGCGGATTTTTGCATCTATGTTAATCAGAGATATCAGCTTGTAGTTTTATTTATTTGTTGTCTCCTTGCCCTTTTTTGGTATCAGGATGATGTTGGTTTTGTAGAATGAGTTAGGGAGGAGTCCCTTCTTCTCAATTGTTTGGAATAATCTTAGTAGTTTTGGTACTAACTAACTCTTCCTTGAACATCTGATATAATTCAGCTGTGGATCCATTGGGTCCAGGACTTCATTTGGTAGGTAGTTTGTTATATTTTATTTTAAATTACCGATTCAATTTCATGGCTCATTATTAGTCTGTTTGAGTTTCAATTTATTCCTCTTTCAATATTGGTTCTGTGTTTCCAGGAACTTACCTATTTCCTCTAGATTTTCTAACATCCACATGTACAGATGTTAATAATCTCTGATAATCTTTTGTTTCTTCTGGATTGGTTGTAATGTCACCTTTTAAATTTCTGATTGTATTTATTTGGATTCTCTCTCTCTCTCTCTCTCTCTCTCTCTCTCTTTTGGTTAATCTGGCCAGGGATCTGTCAATCTTGTTTATCCTTTCAAAGAACCAGCTTTTCAACTCATTGATTATTTATTGTTTTTTTTTTACAATTTTGTTTATTATCTGATCTGAGTTTTGTTATTTCTTTTCTGTTGCTGACTTTGGTTTTAGTTTATTCCTGTCTTTCTATTTCCTTGAGGGGAGGTTAGATTGTTTACTTGCGATCTTTCTGTTTTCATGATATGAGGGTATAGTACAATAAATTTTCCTCTCACACACTTTAGCAGCATCCCAGAGGTTTTACTATGTTGTATTTTTATTTTCATTTGTTTTAAATAATTTTTAAATTTTTGTCTTGATTTCATTGTTTACCCCAAAATTATACAGGAGCAAGTCATTTAATTTCCATATATGTGTATGTTTTTGAGGATTCCTTCTACTGTTGATTTTCTCATTTTATTACACTGTGGTCAGAAAAAATGCTTGGTAAGATTTCTTTTTTTTTTCTTGAGTTGGAGTCTCATTCTGTCGCTTAGGCTAGAATGCAGTGGCACGCTCACAGCCACCCCAGTGTCGATATGCTAGGTTCAGGCAATCCTATTGTCTCAGCCTTCCAAGTAGCTAGAACTACAGGTGTGAGCTACCATGCCCAGCTAACTTTTTGATTTATTGTAGAGATGAGGTCTCGCTAAGTTACCCAGGCTGTTCTCAAATCCATGGGCTCAGGCAATCCTTTCACCTCAGCCTCCCAAAGTGTAGGATTACAGGCTTGAGCCACTGCACCTGGCCACCACTCTGTTTTTTAAGTGGGGCATTAACACCAGTGACATTCAGGGTTACTAAAGATATGTGAGGGTTTGTTCCTGTCATATTGTTGTTGAGGTGTTGCTTAGTGGTCTTAGTTTTGTGGGTGACTTATATGGTGCTTACTTTATTTGGTGCTTACTGTGTGCTTACTTGTGTTTTTGTGTTGGGTAGCACTGTTCTTTTGTTTCCACATTTAGAAATCCTTTAAGTATTTCCTGTAGGGCTAGTCTAGAAGTGACAGATTCCCCTAGCGCTTGCTTGTCTGGGAAGGACTTTAGTTAACTGATATATATGAAGCTTAGTTTGGTGGGATAATAAATTCCTGGCTGACATTACTTTTCTTTAAGAATATGGTAAATGGGCCCCCAATCTCTTCTGGCTTGTAGGATTTCTGCAGAGAAGTCTGCTATTATTCTGATGGGTCTCCCTTCTAGCTGCCTTTAAAATTTTTTTCTCTTTCATGCCGATATTGGGTAATCTAATGACTATGTGCCTCGGAGATGGTCATATAGTATCTTTTAGGAGTTCTCTGGACTTCTTATATCTGCATGGCAACCTCTCTAGCAAGATGGGAGAAATTTTCATGGATTATATCTTCATATACTTTCTCCAGAGTGCTCCTACTTTTTCCTTCTCAGGAATATAGATTTAGTCTCTCTACATAATCCCATACCTCTCGAAGGCTTTGTTCATTTTGTTGTTGTTGTTGTCCCCACCCCCCTCCCCCCTCCCAAATCTCATGTTCGGCTTTGTTCATTTTTTAAAAATTCTTTATTTGGAGGGAGGTGGGAGTGTGCGGGCGTGTGCGTTTCACCAGCCTGGAAGGGGAACTGCACGATGGAGGTGACCGGGTACTGAGCATTTCAGATCTGCTTGATAAACCTGGCATACCACCATGCTGGCTGCAAGGCTTGTATGTCTCTGGACGCTACCTTCTAGGGTTTTCCATCCAACTTTCACCAAGGCCTCCCCCGTTGTGAAGAATTCCGTTGTGAAGAATTCCATCACGAAGAATCAATGGCTCTTAACACCCAGCAGGGAATATGCCACCAAGACAAGAATTGGGATCCGGTGTGGGAAAACTGGCCAAGAACTCAAAGAGGCAGCTTTGGAACCATTGATGGAAAAAATATTTAAAATTGATCAGATGGGAAGATGGTTTGTGGCTGGATGGGCTTCTGTTGGTCTTGGAGCATTGTGCTACTATGGCTTGGGAATGTCTAATGAGATTGGAACTATTGAAAAGGCTGTAATTTGGCCTCAGTATGTGAAGGACAGAATTCATTCTACCTATATATACTTAGGAGGAAGTATTGGTTTAACAGCTTTGCCTGCCTTGGCAATAAGCAGAACTCCTGTTCTTATGAACTTCATGATGAGAGGCTCTTGGGTGAAAATTGGTGCAACCTTTGCAGCCATGATTGGAGCTGGAATGCTTGTACAATCAGTATCATATGACCGGAGCCCAGGCCCAAAGCATCTTGCTTGGTTGCTACATTCTGGCGCGATGGGTGCAGTGGTGGCTCCTCTGACGAGAATAGGGGGACCTCTTCTCATCAGAGCTGCATGTTACACAGCCGGCATTGTGGGAGGTCTCTCCACTGTGGCCATGTGCACACCCAGTGAAAAGTTTCTGAACATGGGTGCACGCTGGGAGTGGGCCTGGATCTCGTCTTTGTGTCCTCGCTGGGATCTATGTTTCTTCTACCCACCGCTGTGGCTGGTGCCACTCTGTACTCAGTGGCAATGTATGGTGGATTAGTTCTTTTCAGCATGTTCCTTCTGTATAATACCCAGAAAGTAATCAAGCGTGCAGAAATAGCACCAATGTATGGAGTTCAAAAACATGATCCCATCAACTTGATGCTGAGCATCTATATGGATACATTAAATATATTTATGCGAGTTGCGACTATGCTAGCAACTGGAAGCAACAGAAAGAAATGAAGTGACTCAACTTCTGGCATCTCTGCTAGATCAGATATCTTGCTTGTTTAATAGGGCAGATATTCATTAAATAGTTTGTATAAGTAGATTTCACTGAAGTTTAGAAGATAAGAACAAGTCACAATGTTTAAAACGTTCCAGTAATGTGATGCTTCAGGTCTGCTTTTTCTTCTGGAGAATAAATTCAGTAGCTATCTCCCACATAAGCACCTACATTTCCAATTCTCATGTTTGAGTAATTTTTGAATGTTTTAATGAACATGAAAACTAAGGTTTGTGTTATGAGAATGTTAAGTATTTTATCTATTTTTAAATTTATTAGGTTAAGTAAAAATTAGCAAACCTGAAAAAAAAATTCTGTATTTGTATCTGACTTGGGTGTATCTAGGGATTGGTCTTCAAACTCTGAAATTATTTCTTCTGCTTATCAAGTCTTTTGTGAAAGCTTGTAGTTGTGTTTTGAAATTCCTGTAGTGAGTTCTTAATTTCCATGAGTTCAGTAGGTCAACTTTCAATTCTTGAATTGTTTTCATGACCTTTCTGACTTGGGACTCCACTTCCTCTTGGATCTTGATGAGTTTCTTTGCCATCCATATTCTGAATTCTGTCTGTCATTATGAACAGTTTGTTCTGTATTTGATCCATTGCTTGGAGCTGGTGTGATAGCGTGGGGCCATGAAACACTGGTTTTTTGTTGCCAGAGTTCTTACACTGATTTCTTCACATCGGAGAGTGCTGATGCTTCTTTCTCTCTCCCTCCTTTTTCTAAAAGTGAGTTTGCTATTTTGGGGATGTCGCTTTTTTTTCCCCTACTTTTTTGTCCTTTATGGGTGTGGCTGTGGTATATGTTGTGATTGGCTTCATTCCTTAGTATTTTCAGAGGGCCAGTGTGCTGAACAGGTTCCCTGGTTACAACTAGAGTTGTACTGTGGTCGTTTCCAGAACAATTAGAGATGCTTTTTCGTTAGGTGTTGTAGTTAGGCCATAGGCTTATAAATGGCATTTAAATACAAGGTCCGGTAACAGCAGCTGCACCTCAGTCAGACTTTTCAAGGACTTCCAGGCCTCAGCCACAGTGATCAAGTGGGAATGACATCCCCAACACTCCTCTGGGAACTAGAACAAGTGATTCCCCTCTTAGGAGAAGCTGCCAAGATGGGAAAGGGTGAAGGGTGGCCAATAGCTTGCTGCCCCCGCTTACTTATTACAGGCAGGTGTTGGGGTCCTGTGGGCTCTGCGGGCAGGTAGCCCGCAATCCATGCAGCCAACATGAGGGTGGGTAATGGGCACCTTGACTCCTTGCTGCTTCTGTTTATTTCAGCTGCAGGGACTGTGCTGGGAACACATGCTATTGCTCTGTTTGGCTGCTCCCTTCCAATCCTGAGGGTGGCAACAGCAGAGGCTGCAGCAGTCACAAAGCATCTGCCCTTCACAGAGGAACTCTGAGTCTCTCCCCTTGGTGGGTGGCAGCATCTGGCACTGAGCTGCATGGGGTTGATGGCCTGAGGGATTCCACATGACCTTAGGCAGTGCCCCTGCACAGTTGCCACTCAGGACTCTATGCTTGTCTGGGGGCTTTGGGGAGGGGTGGGTCACAGAGGCTCTCCTCTTACTTGGATCACCTTCATCTGTGGCAGTGGTGTGGGCTCTTGGGTTTTGTTTTGTTTTGTTTTGTTTTGTTTTGACTCACTCACCCCTTCACCATGTTGAGGGACTTCCACATTTCCTCACCAAGTCCAGGTTGGCAGGCTGTCTAATTTTACTCCTCTGCCTCTTATGGGTCTCCTCGCTTCTCTGTTGAGTTCAGGGTATGTGTTCCTCCTCAGCCTGCTTTGAGTGTGGAGATTCACTTTCTATTTTGGTTCTCTCTGTGAGAGAGGTACACACTGGCTGCTTCTAGCTGGCCATCTTGAACCCCCTCTCCTCATTTAAGTCAATTGTAGCAATTGCCCACCAAGGTACCTCGTATCAGTAACAGTTACTAAATGATGAAGGAGGACAGTGAGAAGTAAATGGTTCCACTCTTCCAAGAGTTATAATTTAGAAATGTACATACAAATTAATATAGTGCAAAATAGATCTGGGCATGTTGGCCCACACCTGTAATCCCAGGTACTTGGGATGCTGAGGTGGGAGAATTGCTTGAGGACAGTTCAAGACCAACCTGGGTAACGCAGCAAGACTCCATCTCTTTAAAAAAAAAAAGTACAAAATAGAAAGTTATAATAGTTATAAGAGAAGTATACAGTGGAATAGACACGGTATCTGGGTAAGCATCATGGAAGAAGTAGCACTTCAGATAGATCTTGATGGATATGGATAGAAAAATTTGGGAATAGGGTATAGCAGGCAAAGAGAAAATTGTAAGCAAAGGCACAAAAGTAGAAAAACCCTTGGTTCCATCAGAAAACGGTGAATACCAAGAGAACAGTAGGAAAGAAAACACGGAGATATAACTCTGGAGTCAGAAATCCCTGTCTACTAATCTTAGTACTCAAACGTACTGTGTACTTTGACAAGTGACTTAAAATCTTTGTGTTGGTTTTCTCCTCTGTAAAATGGGGATAATATCTGTGCCTATCTCACAGGGTTGATATGAGGAGATAGATATATTTTAAAATATATATATTTATGTTTTATACATATATATAAAACAGTGTCTGGCACATAACAAGTGTCATATGTGTGTTTGAAGAAGAGAGAGTGAGAATCTTTTCTGTTGTACTAGAAACCACAGAAGATTTTTGAGGAAGACAGTGAAAAGACAAGAGCTACGCACTAAGAGGGTGATCCTGGAAGTTCAGCACACAATTGATCAGTAGAGAGAGCTCCTAGAAAGGAGAAGTGCCAGCTTGGACTAGGGCATTGGCTATGGGAATGAAAAGGAGAGAGTGAATGTGAGACAGACTGCAAGGTCCCTGTGGCATGCACATATTTTTCAAGTGTTTGAACTAAGGGTATCTCTGTTTTTGAAAAATAAAAGGTCACTTAGAAATAAGTCGAGTGGCCAAGGTGGGGGATTTGGGTTAAAAGCAAAAAAAGAGATGGATTTTAAAAAATGAGACAAATTTTGTTCTGTGGCTTCTTAAACTAATACTAAAGACAATCCAAAAGAGATTTGCTAAAAAAAAAAAAAAAAAAATTAAAATGTATGGTACTTTTATCAGTGGAATAGATTATAATTTTTTCAGGTTATTATGGTAAAGAAAAACATACAATTGTATAAATGTTAGCGTACTTACTTAATCATCAGTAATATTGTGTATACTACCTTTTTATTGAAATAATTTAAAGTTGAAAAATAAATCATTAATTTATTATGATAATTCCTTGAATATATATTTATAGAAGGAGAATGGAAATACAAATATATTGAAGGTTAAGGACTAGAATTTGGTCTTTTATTCATTTTACTTATCATTTTCTGCTGATATATGTACCTCTTGGATGCTGCTAAGCTTGTTGATTTTCTTTTTTCTGTTAATATTGTTTGTATATTCTCTCTATATATTTAAAAACTATCTTGTTAAAATGAAAATAAGGAAGGGAGGGGGCATAAGCCAAGATTTGTTAACTTTAGGTACTACTAAAGCGAGGGAGGGGACTTCTTTTACATTTGGGTAATCTCAAAGGCTTTGCATTGCTTTTCAAAGATGCATTCTTGCACTACCATTTTCTATATTCTATTGCAATTTCCTGATACCATTGTTGAGTTTATTAAGGGTCTCCTCACCATATTGTTTACCCATGTGCAGTTCACTAAGTACTGCCCTATGTGCTAATCCGATCAGCTTTTTCTTATCACCTTGCACCTGCTCTGGCATGGTGATAAAAAGCCAAAAGCCTTTCCTAAAATAATTTAATATGATGCATTGAACATTGTGTTTTATTTAAAATATCCTTTCTCTAGGCACTTATAAACCATACTTCAAGTTTTTAAAGTGAAATTACTAGAGATATTTCCAAGATAAACATGCTGTTTATAGACATAAATATTATAAATTATCAATTGATGAATACATAATGGAATATACATTTACATAATAATAACATCACCAAAAGAGAATGATTAGTAATTTGTAGTCAGTTAGGAAGGACTCTTGTGACTGAAGACTGCATCAGGAATGGGACTGTCTTTTTCACAAATAGGTCTAAAGAACTAGTATCTGTTTTCACTTCTTATTGTGGAAGGAGGTCTGAAACAAAGTATAATATTCTAGAAATGAGAAAAAACACCTTGATGAATTAAGAGCAGATATATGAATGGATGGAAGTCAGTAAGAACTGGTAGTCTCTGCCTCTTATTGGAAAGGACTGAATAGGGAAAACCTTCCAGTCATCAGTTCAGCAAAAAAGTCAAGACTCCCACTGGAGTCTTGGAAGGACCTATGGTTTCTTCAAGTTCAACACAGGATTGTCTTAATAATATTTGTTACCTAAGCTTCATTCTGAAATTGGAGACAAGCAAAAAATCATTTGATGGTGAGAATGCCAATAATTCAGTGTTTTTGAAATATAATTACTTCTCAGCATAGAGTTAACAGTTTGCTATGTGTATCTTCTCCCAATTCCAAAAATGTTGATTCTTGCCAGCTCTATAGTGGGAGACAGAGGGGCTAATTCTTGAGTATAACATCAAGCCAGTGAAACTGGAATGAGATAAAATATATAAAGAATGTATTCTAGTTCCAGGATAGATCAGCATCCTCAACCTTAGATATCATTTTCTCCACACATACCCTGAAAATTCCAAACTAACTGGATTATAAACAAAAAAGTTACCTGCTTTGGCCAGCTGTTTTTTGTTTGTTAACCATGATATTCTCTTCTAGCTATTTGGAGAAGTATAACTTGTACTAGTCAGAAAAGCAGAAGTAAAACCCTCAGTGTTTACAGGAACATTTCTAGGAAATTAAAGCAAGAACTTTATTGTCTGTTGGAAATGGCAATACAAACTTCAGAACTCATTGATATAACTTATATTTTGCTGCTCCTCTGAATTCTTCCAAAAATCCTTATCAGTGCTTTGAAAGGAGTTCAAACAGTAACTGGGTACACAACTATTACAAGGATTTTTTTCATTTTCTTTTTTTGTTCATCAGAAACAAGTTTCTATGATATGCTAAGAATTTTAAATGAGCTGAAGACCTTCTTGCAAATAAGATTCTTAATAGCAAATATAATTATCTGATTTCTAGATGTTTTGATAT